CCAGTGCCACCACTATATCTCTTGGACTTGAAAGAGCTCATGGACATGTGGAAACCCTAAAGGGTTTCAACATGCTTGTAATACGGTATTTGCTTGGACCGCAGGTCGAATTCTAGTTAGGTTCTCCCTTGGCACAACTGAAACTTCCTTGCTGGATCGACCAACCAGTGCTATACTAGATTGGGAGAACAGTCCGAGAAAGCCTCAAACGGTACTGTAGATCCAACGCTCCTTCAGAGCAAATCAGTACAAGGGCTATCGTGGATCAACCCCTACTCAATCTCACCGAATATGCCATTCTTCCGGAGTTGACTTTCGCTGCCAGGCACGCATTGGTGGGCAAAACGTTGACTTTTACCTGAGAAGGGCCCGACAGTCATTGTCCATGGCAAATCGTCAGAATATCACTGTGATTTTGAGCGGAAGTAGAGTGCATGGGAGTCGATTCCATACTTTGTGGGTACGTTTTGTTTACGCAAGAAGGCTTCAGCAAATGAAGCTGGCAACAAGTTTATTCCGCCAGTGCGAAAAACCATATTGGAGGCTGATAGGAAAAAACAGAAAAGCTAGCATCGCACTAACTGCGAAAGAAGATTTCTTTAGGGCATCACATATTCTCCATATCAGGGAGAAAGGAAGGGTGTGGCCGCGTACTCTTCTTGAGAGTGACGGCGACTAAGCTCTTGGTTTAAATGCTGTTATGGGGCGATTGTCACCACGTCTTTGTCCAGGATGTTACCTCACTCACATCAGTTACGTCGCAATATTCCACGGAAACAGTACACACCACGCCCTCTCCATCTCCAAGGAGTGAGAGTCATTCATTCATTCGTTACAACACAACAGGATATGCCCCTCAAGGAGGTAACAAAACACACAAGATAACGCTCTACATCGAGAACACTTCATATTCTGCCGTTAGGAAAAACTTTCCGAAGTACGAACCTCCCTCCCGTCAAATTCCATCTGTTGGACGACCCACTTCCCTATCCTACCTGGCATCTTCTTGTATTCTCCCGCATTCTACCAATTTTTTCTCCGGTTTTTTCCTTAAAAAATTCAAGGCGGAAAGGGGAGGGGTACACAGTGCGACGGCAAATAGTTAAAAATCAAGGACCGAAAACGTTTTTTTTCGGGGGCAGTTGCCGTTCCCCGCTCTTTGTGGGAATCACCAAAGTGCTCTGCTTGATGATAGGGAACCCAACCGAACACATCAATAAACATCAATATTTTTATTCAGTACAAATGGTACTGTCGAAATCATCGATCTGTTATAATCCTTGCCACCGAAATTTCCAGTAGTATTCGTTTTTCTTAGCTCTCCTGCCTTTCCAGCAGTAGTTGTGACCCTTTCGTAATTTTTTTAGTTGTCATCTTCTCGTAATTTTTAACGCCTTGATAGTGCTTATCTGTAGCGATCATCGGTGCTGAGTGAGCGGAGATAGTGTGCGGAACCCTGGGTGAACGGTTTTTCTGCTCCACGAATTATTAATGAGACATTCACCACGTTCGTAATCACGCCGCATAGATCGCTATCGTTAACCGTCTCGGCAAAGACCATAGCACTCGTCCTTTTCAGCTGAGAAATTGGAATGAACGACGATGAATGCGATCGTTTACGGAGTCTGCTTCGACTTTCCAAAGAACCAGGCATTCCTGATGGGGGACAGGTTCGCAAAAGTAGTTTTCCTGCAGTCTTGTTCGCTGCAGGTGCTGGGGCGTGCCAGAGGGACTGAGTTTGGCAAGGTGCCAACATGCTTTCTACCAATTGTTGTCAGGTATCCGCTCGTCAACAGTTTGAAGAGAACTCCGTGCCATACCCAGCCCCCTGATACATATCCGCATCCGCAGCAGTACGACTGTACCTGCACCTGCCAAGGAATCTGAGGAGGTTGTGAGTTTCAGGACGCCGGAGTGCTGATTCTTCTCGATGGAACGCCAGACGACTATCAAGTGTTTCTTTGTATTCGATCAGACGAGATGAGAAGGCATCCAGGAGAGGTGTGTTTCCCGGGTGGAATGCGTGACGCTGATGAGAATCTACAGGAGACTGCTATCCGAGAAGCAGAAGAGGTTGGTGCCATCGTTCTCACAATAAGCGGGCATTTAACTAGTAAATTAGATGAACAGGTGAATAGATAATAGCTAAAAAATTAAAAAATTAATAAATACATAAATAAGGTAGTTTTGAAGCGAAAAGACGAGGGCTTAGGTTAGAGGCGATCCTGAGGCATTTAGACCAAGGAGCAATACTAATTGGTACTTCTATCCGAAGCTGTAGGGGAGCTTTGAAGTACTTGACGGTAATCAAACTTCCCAGGTTGGATTCGCGTTTTAGAAAATGTTATCAGAAAATATTATCAGATGCAAAACGGCTTCGAATGCCAGTTTAGACGACGGAACAAACTGCTTTCGAACGAGTCTCACAACAGATCACTTGGTGGCAGTCCTCGCTAATATAAGGATTCAGGATGAGAATTCCTTAACGAGTATATTGTACTTGTGTCACTGGTGAGAGGCCCTTTTAGGGAAAGGGGTTGTTGAGTGGGGTTGGCAGGTGAGACGGAAGAGTGTAGAAATTTTGAGGAATATGAAGGACTATTAATGGTACTTAAACAGTTCTTCCACTCGGTCGACGAGTTTTTCCAAGCAAAGCGAGGCCGAGTTAGGCTGAATTGGACTTCTGGGCCGAAAAAATGGGCTGAGGTCGTAACAGGGACAGTGGTGGTGGGGTGACCGACATGGTGGCTCTATGCGATACCTCGTGATATACTCATCCTTGATTCGAGTTTCTAAGAGAGAAAGGGAAGTTTGGAAATAAGGGGACAATCGCCGTCCCCTTATTTTCAAATCAATTGAAAACGGGAGGGTCGCGCTAGGAAGGGGGGGGGAATAGGGAACGAGAGCGATTTGTTTCCCCACAATGTGCGCATTCTGTTTTGCAAATAAGGATCAGATAGATGAGATGCGAAATATGTGTATCTAAAATGTCGTGTGCAGCTATCGATGGCATGTCATGGTACATGGCGCAACTCAGTATTTATTGATAGTGAAATGAAGTATGCATTCAGAGCTGTAGATCAGAAGCACCGACCAATTATTTTGATGTTGTATTACTATTTTCGCTAGATATTTCATGTAGGTGCAGACCGGTCGAAGATTTGTTGAAGTTTCAAATTGAAGAATGGGCTATTTTTCTGCAGTCAGCATCCCTTGTGGAATAGCCTACACGCTTAATAAACAAAAACGTCCAAGAATAGCTGGAGAGAGCGAAGAGATGAGCGATGAAACGGCTGAAGCTGTGGACCGGACCAATTTTCAGATGAGAAACTCCCATAGAAGAAACCAGAACGGCATGTGTATAGGCAGTTGCTTCGTATAGACGGTGACATGAAGTCATGGGCTGACTTCCCGTGGGACTGGCTGTCGTGATCTGAATGAGAAGCGGAGACACTATCGCGAAAACGGAGGGGTAGTTAGGGCCGTCTGATGACGATCGTAGAACTCGCCTGGCTCAGTTCTATCCCAACTAATGTTCAGGGCACGTCTGCCCGATGACACTCAATTGAAGTCATAAAGTATGCACTTATCGACCAGAGCTCGGCTACTTAGCGCCAGAAGCCCTTCGTGTCACTAAATGGATTGGGTCTCAGTAATGATAATCTCGTGGGAGAGGTTGGAGGAGGAAGAGATTGCCGTGAATTGGAGTCGTTAGGAATCTGAATCATGGCTGCCTAGCACTTGACCGGCCCCCGAATATCCCAGCAAATGGTCCCATATTACACTTAGCAGGCTATTGAAGAATCCTATCAGAGAAAATCGGCGTATTAGCTGTTGGGCCTGAAGGGACATTTTGCACTTTCGCTAGTTCGTTTTATAGTTCATGTCCCTTCGGTGAAACCTGTAAACTACTGAGAAGCTGCAGTTGAGTCACTTTAGTAAAGAAAATTTGACAGGCAGTCTTGGACAGGCCTGGAGCTGTACTGTGATTCCAATCTCGTTTGCCACGAGACGAACTGCGCCGTGGAAAAAGGCTATTTGTGGCTCAGAAGCAGCATAATCAGCTCCAATTTCGATAAGATCAATGAGAGAGAGAGCATTGAATGCTCAAGGTGGAATGGATTGGAACAGAAAGGAAGCTAAGCTCGAGTCGGTATGGGCCCAGTTAACGCGTCACTTGCTTCCAATGGCCACCAGCGTAGGCCCTTCTTGCCATTAAAACATGTTTTTCAGGCTCTTTCATTCTGTGTGCAAGGGTTCCTTCTTACCTTACTTCTAGAGGGAGAAGGTTAGACTAGTATGGAGCAGCCTTTAACAAGTAATCTTTCATGCGGTTACTATTTGGCGAAATGCAATAGTGCCAGACAAAGTGGTGAAGTGGCAAAGAGCGCTTATTCCCATCTCTGCGCCACGCCACTCTACCTTTCAGAACTACGTGGCATCTGAAAGCAGTGTTACTATTTTGGCAGTTTCGTTTTAGTGGGAGCAACGAATAGCGTGCTCGGCCAAGCTTATAAACACAGTGTAAAGACGCTGCAATTCTGTTGCTAAACTCGACTTCGAAAATTTCAAAGCTTAGCAGGGCCTGTTACGAGGTCTATAGCCAAAATAAGCGCTGCTCAAATAGCCATTGAACCAACAAATTGGTAGTAGCGAAAGGATGGACCCCTTCAACCGCACACATGCCTTGATTTCACGAGAGGTAATGATCAATCTCTCGAAGGGACCTGGTACTACTGGTTTGCTTGGTCGAATTATACTCAAACTGCTGCGATACTCGGGCAAGAGGTGTAGTCTCCACTTGAAACTAATCCTATATAGACCAGCAGGAAAAACTAGCAAACGCGTGAAGGTCAGCCTTAGTGTGAGCCAAAAAGAACGGAGAAAGTCTCATCGGCGCAAAGGCAATTAGTCACGCGGACATTGCATTCCACTTATGTCATATACAAGTAATGTGGATCCTAGGTTGAGCACGTGAAAGGACCCTCGGGCCGCTTTTTGACTTGGAAGAGATGTTTCGAACTCGCTTATCGCCTAGTTTTGTTTGTTAGTATCATTCTCAAATAACAAGGTCTTACTTCTGAGCACTTGATAAACTTCCTGCGAAGTGCGAAGATGGGACGAGTGAACCACTTTGTCACAGGGATTCACAGGTTTTCACAAGGTGGCCTGTACAAGCAAGCTGAGCACCATTCGGTGTCCCCACCAAACCTTGTCGCACTGAACCTTGTCCGAAGGTTTTGAAAACTAAAGACAAATGCGTACACTTCGCATCCCATATGGTGAGAGACGTCATGGAATATCGATATAGTACTCTAAGCCAAATGTAGCGGCAGCTTGGGCGCTTCGAGCAGCAATACTGCAAGCTTTCCGAAACATTACGCCCATTCCTTATGTTCTACACAAGACCTAGGCGTAACACTTGATAAAAAGACGGCATATTCTGCCGAACAGACGCCGTCCTAAGACTCGATCAGGTGATGAAAGCTACCAAACCCACTCCGAGCGGGATGTCAAATTATATTGAGCACAGCAGGCAGAAATTTAGGCGCAGTTCGGCCTAATGTGGGTGCTGTTGCTGGTTTCCATGGATCTTTGCCGCGGTGTGCCTCTCTGTGGAGAGCGAAGATCTTGTTCAGCGTGTGGAATTGTTGCTTTGCCGGGCGAGCCTTTGCTCACACTTGACAAAAATCCTCCAGTGTTTCCCAAGATGAGACGTGTAGTTAACACGAACTGGATATAAAAAGTCAGTGAGATGTTGTCCCCCTTGCCGACCACTGAGTGGCTCGTTGGAGAAGCCCTCTGCGTACCACAGGGTTTCAAAAGCTCTCAAGAAAGGCAGGGAGGAATGTGAGAGTTATGGGGATAGAATTATCAGCTGTGAGAGGCTGCAAGTTGAGAAGCAGTTCATTATTTTGAGAATAGTAACGCAGCTGAAGTGTGGAAGAAAGTTGACCCCATAAGAAAGAATCAAATACGTCCTACATATAGCTATATAGACAGAATCTTTCGCGACCAAGCCAGCAACAATCAGATGGACATCTGAGGGCCACTCAAGAGCACTTAAAGGCGTGAGTTCTATGAAATGAGTGTAAAGAGCACTTGTTGAGTTACGAGGATTTCAGCGTCCTCAACAGCAGCGCCGTGGTACATTTATAAATCTATTGAAGTGTCGTTGCGGAGCTATTTTGAAAGTGCTTTTCTTATAGAATCTCGAGAGTGAAGTGAGTCGTTCACTGCTTGAGAGCCCATGGTTGAACTTGCGGGTCTGGGAGTCGCGGGAGTTCGTAAAGATTGGTAGAAATGTGCTGGGCACTGCGCCGCGAACCCGGGTCCTTGACTCCATACAATGGTTCAGCGAAATCGTACCATGTAGATAGCAGATAAAGCTGATGTGAAAAGGAAAGCTTCTGAGCCGTAATCCAGAGTTTCAAGACAATCAAAGTCGGTAGTGGTTCTGGGCGGGCTTATACCGTACCTACACTCGAAATCATTGGGATGAGGTAGGCGTGGCTGCGTACTTCAACTAAACGTCGATGGATATGCTTTTGGAAAATATATTTATTTTCATTCTGACCCAAATGTGGTCACTTCATGTTTGACCCAAATGTGGTCACGTCTCAGTCCAACAAAGAACAAGATGGCGGTTGTCTCAAATTGAAGTATCCCACGAGTAACCAGTTATGTCATGTTCGATGCCACGCCTACCCCGGCTCAGGGATAAGGAGTATACCTACTTACGTATAACCTACAAGGAGAATTGAGCGTCAAAGGGAGAGTATAAAAAAGGAACTGAAGGCCTGTAGGCCGAAAATTATCGAGGCTATTCATTGGAGGGGAAAGGGAGCAGTTTGGCTCGGTGGGGGCAGCACATGGTACTCAGCATCACTTGTACAAGTCCCTTCGTGAAGAACTGTAAATTCCTAAAGCCAAAGTGGCTGACGAGGGTTTACTGGTCCCACTAAAGTTAAGACCCGCCACTAGTGCAACATGAATTTGGCAAGAGGAACTAGCGAAGGTGCGAGAATGCCCATCCCATACTACCCACCCCCTCCCTGCCCGTAATCCAAGCAGCACCTGAAGAAAGCTAGGTAGATGGAATGACGTTGGCTGGTTGCATATAGGCGCAATCCCACAGCGAAGGCGGTGATGGCAATCAGGCGTTTCTTAATAAGCTCTTATGAGCGGTGAACAGGCCTGCCGCGTGAGGAAGAAAGCAAAAAAAGCGTCGGAAACGCCCTAAATAGAGCCCTCGTCAATTAGCTCGTCGTCCGTGTGGAATGTACTTGTCTTCGAGGACGGCTTTAAAATGAAAATCAACTCGAGCGGCAAAGCTGTATTCGACAAAAACTTGTCAGACAAAGAAAATAGAACCAGTAGAGTGCAGAGCGGGTTTCGAGGGCCAAAAGGATCACAATGAGGGATGGAAGCGGAGAGGAAAAACGGCCGTGGGAGAC